TCTGCTTTAACAGAAACATGGCTCCATGACAGCATCCCAGACGGACAGACAGCTGGAGGGGATGCAGACAGACAGACAGCTAGCTCTGGTAAAGCCGAGGTGGGGGCTGTGCATCTATATGAACAGAGGCTCATCAGACCCACATCACAGCCAGCCTTCCTGCATCGCTGAACCCCCTTCAGTCCGCCTACCGTCCCAACCGCCCCACAGAGGATGAAGATCCACCACCTCAGTCATCACCCACGGACACAAACACCAGCACTGCTGTATCTCTGACGCAGCAGGTTTTGTTGTATCTCCAGGAGATTTGTTTGCGCTGTGAAAGAACCAAACGCATGATTCGTTTTATTTTTGTGACAAAGATGGTTTTCAAAGATTCACAGAATCTTTACAAGTGTGTAACGTTTTGTTCAACACTGCTCATACCGTATTTAGTTCATGCTTCAAATGGAACCATTTTTCCAGTTTTCATTTAAATTTACCAGGAAACGTAAAAACCAGTTTGAAGGTGGATGACATCCTGTTGCTGGATTAAAGACTAATGCACACGTCTCAGCTACATACTCACCAAATACCTTTCCGAGAAAAATGCTTTTGACCAGGTTGAACTGGGTGTCTGAGGCCTCAGGCAGGGTGTACGTGGACACCGGGTAGTGGTCCAGCTGAAGGACACAGACAGGAAAGGAACAGTGACACATTCAACAGACAACCTGAATCTCCATCTGTCCCTGTAGCTCTCTGTCTCTGACGTCTTTCTTCTGGTTTCTCTGTGGCCATGCCGTTAGCTAAAAGACTCTACAGCACTGAAAACAAAACACAGTGCTTCTGCAGCAGCCCACCTAACCACCGCCTCACCGGCTGGAAGAAGCACAAGCACCGTATTGTGGCCATTGAAGGCATGGTCACTCAGCTGCACAAATCTGGCTTTATTGTACAGTAACTCTGTGTAACAGTGTTTTTCTGTGGCATGGCTTGTGTCGGGATCATATGGTCTAGTGTGCACTAGATGATGACTCTGCTGCTGTGGAGCCACCACAACAGATCCTCATCAGTGCAGTTTTCAACTCAGAAGAACTCTTTAAATATTTTTTTCTACCCTTTCATCTGTAAATGTCAAATCATTTTAGGAAACGTGCACAGCTGTAGCTCTTCCAGGGTAGAAAGTATCATGTGGCTACATCTAAAAATAACTGCTTATTTCTGTACATTTGAGGACAGACTGTCAGTGAGCAGGAGCAGAGCAGCTGTAGATCTCTGAATAAAAGCAAATACACCACATTTATGCTGCTTATTTTAAACATACATTATTTAGTTGAGCTCTATGCAGGAAGCACTAACCTGTAGCTGAATCTCCCTCAGGTTCCTGGTGACGTTGACGGAGTGAGGCTGTCCGTTGGCCATGTTACGGTGGTCAATGTCTATGGTGTAAGGTTCTGCTAGTCCCCCAAGACTGTAGCGGATCTGAAGAGTGCCTGGACACATGATCGTACAGACACAGATACAGCTCCTTAAAAACATACAAATAAATGAACAGCTGCATTAGATATGATGGGGGAAGCCTACCATTGTGTCTGAGCACAACGGCCACATAGTCTTGGGTCCTGGAGCTGATGTAGACCAGGATGCTGGGAGCACTGTAAGTGCTGAAGCTGAACACCAGCTCCTCCTTCGTCAGGTTGGCCTCACTTGGAATACCAACGACCGATCGACTCTTCGTCTCCTGCAGAGCAAACAGTCCCAACTCTGGCAGGAAGTCGTAGCGCACCAGGGTTCCTGTCTCGAAGTAGCCACCGACATCTAACGAACACACACAGAACGGTCGATCACTACCGACAGACGCATCGTCTAATCTGACCTGATGTAGTCGAATGTAACTCGATGTGCTGCTGGGCTACCATCCGTGCAGAAGGGTCCATCGTATGCAGTGAGTGAGCAGTCACACGAGTATCCGTTGTACTGCTCCACACACTTCCCTCCGTTCCTGCAGTGCATCCCATAGCTGCTGCAGTGGCCCTGGCAGCCTGGATTCACCCCCGACGTGGTCTTCGCCCTCTCCTCCAGGTCAAAGATCACACCATTAATCTTCAGAGCACGCATGCAGCCAAGGAAGCCCCTCTGACCACTCGAAGCACCTGGGACATGGGAAATTAACCGTAGCACAGTTAAGACAAAACAACTGAGTCCTACAAAGGGCGCACAGGGAAGATACGACAGACTCACGCCAGCACAACAGCATCAAAGTCACTGACACTGGTATCGCAGTGATCATCAGAACATGGAGACTCCACGCAGAAAGATCCTCACCGGGACGCCAACCAGCGACTTTCTAGCTGTGAGGCCACGGTGCTAAACATCGAGACACCTGCAGCCCCTCACCTGCCTACCCAGGGTTCCTTGTTTTATTGGTTATTGTTTCTCACTGCTCATCTTTTCTCTTTCTGTTCTCGCCAACCGGGGAAGGCTGATGGCTGTCCATGGAGTCTGGCTGCATTTCTGTCCCACTGTCATCAAGTTCTCAGCATGTGGGAAACTGTGAAGTTTATCTGATCTTGATCTGGTGTATGATGCTATGATATGATGCTATTTAGATGAATTGTACATGAAGTGCACCAGTAAGCATTTTTGTCATCAACATTTAGAGCAAAGTCTCAACGAGGCTCCAAGGATCCTTCTCCAGGTGTTCCTGTAGCGGCGGTGGGAAACGCTGCGTCACATGGTGTGTGTGTGTGTGTGTGTGTGTGTATGTACGTGTGGCTCACCAACATATAGATCGCTGTAGAACTCCAGCTTTGCGTGGCCCTGTGGGGGGGTGGGTCTGACCTCTCGGTACTGTCCATTCAGCTGAAGCACTGCCTCCTTGATGTTCTTCTCAGCCTCCACACGATGCCACTGGTCATCGTTTAACGGCGCTGGCGAGCGGACGCTGAGCTCCATCCGCTCACTGCCCACGTCAAAAGAGAAGAAGATCACTGAACCTCCTGTGAGAACCAGAAGGAAAATCAGACATTAGGAGCACTTTGGGGTTTTTCATCCTCTGATCCCTTCTCACTGATTTTTAATTACTACATTAGAATCTTTCTAAAAACTATTTTTCAAACTACGTCTGTCTTACTGTGTTTAATTTGTTTTGGCTTGCTACTTTTTATTCTTTATGTCCTCATGACTGATGTGACAGGAACCAGAGAAACAGACCACATCTCTCCAGTGTTTGCTTCTCTTCACTCCAGAATATAATTTCAAATCCTTTTCCTTACGTATAAAACCCTCGATGGCTCCATCTTGTCTTCAAGACCTCGACGTTTTAATGAAATTACTGAAAGCAGAAGGTCTCTAGAATGGCCTGGCCTCCTACGTGGATCATAGTGAAGAAGAGAACATCTTTGTCTTCAAATGAGCATCACAGGAGCGTTCCATCTCATGCTGTCTTCCCTTCACTCTATTGAAAGCATTCATTGAGTTGTGTGGTATTGTGTGCATTACTGAAGACCATCATACATGTACACATCACAGAAGATTCGTAAAAGGAGACGTGGATAAGAATAACTGGTCAGCATGGTCAGGAAAAAAGCTGCAAGACCATCTCCAAGACGCCTGAGGTTTGTGTGACTGCAGCCAGCCTGGACGTGGCCACAGGAGGAAAACAGACCAGAGACTCAGCTCAGCGGTGGAAATGAACTAAAAACAAAACCCCAGTACAGTCTTCATTGTAAGCTGATTTCTGAATGAAAGCAGGCAACATGGAAGAAGACAGAAACACAAAGAAGGTGAGAGTGCAGTCTGGACAAAGTTAAAACTACTTTACAGCTTCTTGGTGAATCACATCAGCTCGACGTCCAGAAAAGCAACAAGCTAGTTAAAAAACAAAGCACAGCGGTCCAGCAGGTGTATTGTGAACCTACTGAGCTGAATCAGACCAACGTGTAGCTCCGTCTGTGCCGCCTCGTTTCTTTTGTTGCATTATTTAAACTCCAGCTGTTGCAATAAAAATGAATAGCATGTCTGTTCTCTGGAATATCAGTGGTGGATACTCATCACGGTTGTCCCTTTTAGCCTGTTTCTGGACAAACTGTGTTTGGTGGACGGTTACTGATCATTTAGGCCACACTGGGACACAACTGTCTGCAATTAGTGGCGGTTAAAGCTGACATAATGCTCTACAAAACATTTCCTGTGAGTTAATCCAAGGCATGACCGAGTGCTGTCTAATGGTCACCTCACAGATCAGAGGCTGGAAACACGGCAGGGAGGCGGCGTCTTCACGCATCACTTAGGTCAAAGTAAACTGTACGTTTAAAGTAGTGTCCTCAAGATGACTGCAGGATGTTGCACAGCGTACACACACACACACACACCTCTGAGCTCAATGTGAAGGCCGCCGGTGCTTCCCAGGTTTTCTAGAAACACTCCATGAGTGGAGGATGTCTTAAAGTAGAAGGAGATGTCAGTGCTGGTCTCTCCTCTGTAGGAGGGGAAGTGGAGGAAGGAGGCAGGGCTGGTGAACGAGGCAGCGTTCCAGTAGCTCCCTTCAGAAAACAACAACAGGACACACGTTCAAACACTGACATGAAACATCTCATATCTCTGGTAAAGAGAGGGATGGACAAACACTCACGGTCGCCACGGCATCTGAGCGGCCCGACGGTCAGCTTGGCCTCAGACCCAGCTCTGCTCGTGTCACCAACCACGACCTGGCTCACTGGCAAGTGATCCTTATAGACCAGCAGACCTGCATCCTCCCTCCTGAACACACACACACACACACACACACACACACAGCATCAGGCTGTGTCTAAGCTGACTGTACTGGTCACACTGGTCTGAGGACAGCGACACCAGTACACACAGCTTCACTACAACATGTCATAAAAAGTTCAGTGTACACATCTACCGTTAACTATACCTATAGGATCTCCTGTAACGAGGCAAACCAGAACAGAATCATTCCTGGCATACACAACAGGTCAGTTTCCATCCTGATACCATACGCAGCGTGTGGACGGCCTGCTGCTGCTTCATATTCTTGGATTATCAGCTTTCTGCATTGCACCACAAAATGAACTGGTCTGAGGTCTGTGGTGCTGAGTTTCCCATTGAAATGTGGGGAAGGCTGTAAACCTACAAACATGATAAACGATGTGTGACTGCATAAACAGGTCAATACATAAGTGATAGAGAGGGTCAAAGGTAAAGCAGGAGAGCAGAAGAAAGTGGTGGTTTTGTGTAACTGCCGTGTAGAATACGTCCTGGAAGCAAGAGACATACAATAAAAGAAATAAAGCAGAAAATGTGAACTTCCTGGTTCTAGATCCCGAGCACACAGCTTCCTGTAGTCATAGGCAGTGACCTAAAAGCAAGGCGGTGGTCAGACGCACTGGAGAGGAGGATTATGTTTCAGGGTAAATATCAGACTGTGTATCCTAACGAGTTAAAACATGAGGCGCACTCACCAGGTCCGCAGGTCGGCGTCACAGTTGCAGTAGTGTTTGGGATCAGTACAGTTGTGTTCAATGCCACAGGAACACTTCTGTATCCCTGGTCCTGAACCTCCCCAGTAGGAATGCCTCTCATTGGCTCTTCCTACCCACCAGGTGAATGGGGTTCCATCTGAACGTCAAAGCAACAAGCTAGAGTCACTTTAGTTCATCTCAATTAGATCAAATTATAAGTCTTACTTTGAAGATGTCCTGCTCATTAATGGTGACTGGACTGAACTTCTACAGAACCGTTCTACCTCAGTGCTACTCACAGCGCTTTACAGTGTTTCTCATTCACCCATTCACACACATTCATACACCAATGGTGCCACCAGGAGCAGCTTCAGGTCCAGTGTCTTGGACTGTGAAGGGGATGGAACCACCAACCGTACGATCAGAGGACAACGCTCTACCACCTGAGCCACAGCTCACTGGTCACATGCAGTTCTTTGCTGATGATGAGCACTCTGACATGGAGTCATCATGAGCGGTTCTGGAGTGACGGGTACTTCACCTGGACTGTTGAGAAGACGAGACATTCGGCAGGCGTAGGCCACATACTGCTCACAGCTCTCTGCACTGCTGGTCACCGACAACACCTGGTCACAAAGGGGACAAACAGGGAACCTCAGGTATGTTTCACTGACTACATACCAACAACATAGGACTCTGTGTCATCTGTCTGAGGAGGTCTTCTTTTCAGGACACAACACCTCCATTTGTCTGTGGATTAGCTCCTTGCTGGAGGGTCTGAACATGTACAACATGTCATGGTTAGTACCAACACAGTATTGTGAGTTCTGAGAACTGAATTTAACCTGTTTAGGTTTCCATAATTATAGATGAGCTGTGAACAGACTAAATAGTGAATATAGGCTAACATCTACAGGGGCAGAGAAACACAACAAGTGGCAGGAAGCGATTTGTGAATGAAAACAGTGATTGTGTTTAAAAAGGAAGGAAGATCAGCAGGATGAACAGCATGATTGTTTTTATTCATGGAAATGTTGTGTACTGAGTCACTACGTATGCCTGCAGTGGACAGGTCTTTATGAATGATTAGCCATTATGTGTATGTTGGTTTGTATTATTTGGTCGTCTATGTAGAATTGTCAGCTGACTAATTAGAACGTCCATTCATTCTGTCTCCACCTAATATTCCCCTTTAATCTACCTCAGCTTGTAGCTGCAGGCCTTTAAAATTATGATCAATGTACGAGGTGTTTCAGAAAAGTTCCAGGACTGGTGTCACAAAAGATAGATTATAAATCAAACTACAAACTACCAGTGTTCTCCTTCCCAGTAATCCTCCTGGAGTCTAACACCCTCCTCCAGCCTTCTCTTCACGCAGCCATGCACTCCTGGAAGGATTCTTCAGGATCCTCTCAGCCCTGTCCTCACAGCCATCTTGATGTCGTCCACGTCTTCTAAGCGGGTCCCCTTGATGAGCCCTTGAGCTTGGGGAGGAGGAACCAACCCCACGGAGCCAGGTGGGGTGAGTAGGGAGGTTGCTCCAGCACGGAGATGTTCTTCTCAGCCAGGAGCTGTGGGATGCTCAGGGCGCCGTGAGCAGGTTGTCATGGTGAAGCAGCCTCCACTGGTCCTGACACAACTCTGCCTCTTCTGGACGAAGCAAACGCTGCAGGATCTCTGTAGACGAGCTGGTTGATGGTCTGAAGGGGAAACTCCTGGTTGGTAGTTTGGGTTTGAGATGTATCTGTAGTGACACCAGTCCTGGAACTTCTCTGACACACCTCATAATACAACCCCCCCCCCCTCCGGTGTACCTGTTCATCAGTCACATTATAAATGATCTGCAGCACTGCCTTCCCCTCCTGGTCTGCCCCGGAGACCGAGGTCTGAGGAGACAGGTTGTTCTTCAGGATGGTCCAAACTCTTTCCCCTGAAGGACCAGAAAACAGCGTCAACAGTCTCTCACATCTTCTGAAGCAAATATTCACCACATGCACACTGACTCCAGTGACACACACAGAAACGCATGAGGACTGATGCATGTTTCCGTAGTAACAGGCAGGGTCGGATGTTCTGCAGAACGAGCACAGCTGCTGAAAATAAGTGCTAAAAGTAGAACAGAAATCTGTGGAGAGAGCACTGGTGGCACTTCTGTTTCTCTGTCTTACCTAAAGTCACCTCAGAAAATTCAACGGATGACCCGACAGCACTCTCACAGTGATTTGTCTCACCTGCCATTTCACAGCTGACTCTAAAGGGGGCGATGGAGCCGCTGCCATCAGGGTCGATCCAGTAGCTTCCAGAACTCTTCCCCTGGTGCTGATACTCAGCACAGGACTGCTGATGCAGAGCTACAGGGGAGATGTGACACACAGTTAGCAGACACAAAGCCGTGTGTGTGTGTGTGTGTGTGTGTGTGTGTGTGTGTGCATCAACATCCCATGAAGCAAATGGAGGCTTAGGGTGAGGGGATGCTTGGTCTACATAATGAAGCTAATGCAAGTCGACACAAGGCGCTCACAGGTGTGGCAGGTGGCTCCAGTGTAGCCGGTGCCGCTACAGTTGCAGTTGAACGTGTCCCAAGTTTGAGAGCAGTGACCGCCGTGCTCACAGTGGTTAGGAACACACCTGACAGGACACAGAAACACACAGCAGACTGTTAACGGTGAGGGTAACGCAGGCTTCTGCAGCCCACAGTCATGGCTGTGAGACGACATCACTACTCACCGTCTCGCTTTTGTTTTTCATTACAAGTAAAGTTTAGAATTCTGATTCTGAGCTGCACACCTGTCTATGATGGCACACATATCCAGGCTGACATTTTCAAACGTTCCAATGAGCCCCTGCTCCACAGCCCTGAGGTCCGCCAGGTGGTCATCAATGTGGATCATCTGCATGCAGCCCTGGAAGGAGCGCTGGAGTGACCGGGCATTCGTGTGCAGGAAGTAGCCTGGAGACAAGGGGAGGAGGTCAGAGGTCCATCAGAAGTCAACACTCACTGAAGGAACAGACATGAAACACACCCAGGGAGAACCAGACAGTTTGTCTGTGCCGAGTCTTTCTTCTACTTTCTGTCACCCTTCTAACAGCAGCCATGTTTGTAGACCACTCAGGTCTCTGGTCGAAAATCCGACACCCCAGAACAAACCACACAACAGATGGAGAGTCATTTTTCATAATTCAGATGTTTTCACAAGTGACTTATCGATGAGGCTGTATGTTCCATCAGGGATATTCTCCAGCATGTAATAATAATAATAATAATAATACTTGATCAGATTTATGAAGACTTTTTCTAGACACTGTCACTCATTCATCCACACACATCCATCTGGTGGTGGTAGCTCCGGCTGTAGCCACAGTGGGGCAGACTGACAGAGGCCTGGCTGCCATTCTGCCCTCCGACCACCACCTCAACAACCCATCCATACACATCCACACCAGGCAGGTGGTGCAGTGTCCTGCCCAAGGACACAACAACCATGACACAGGTTACAGGGTGGAATCAAACCACCAACCTTCTGATCACTGAGCGACCCGTTCTACACCCTGAGCCACAGGGTTAGGCTAAGCTGAAAGCAGCCTCTCTCCCTGCCAGCATCCTCAGGACTTTCTCCAGAGGTGTGGTGGAGAGCGTCCTGACATCCTGCATCTCCACATGGTCCTCCAGCTGCAGTGTGTCAGACAGAAAGCCCTGCAGAGGATAGTTAGAGGAGCTCAGAGGGTCTCCTCTGTCCAAGAACTTCTCCAGAGCTGCTGCAGGAACAGGACCCTGAACATGGTCAGGGACTCCTCACACCCTCTCCATCAACTGTCTGAACTGCTGCCATCAGGAAAACGTTTCTGGAGCGTTGAAGGAAGATCCTCCAGACTGATCAGCAGCTTCATGCCACCAGCTGTCAGAACGCTGAACTGCTGGTCCAGAGATGCCAACACTTCTTCATTTAAATGCTTTAAGTTCCTGGATCCTGGAGAAAGGCTCTCTCATCCTGCCTGTCCTGCTGTGGACGAACAGCACCATGGCAACAAACTGGATCTGATTTGAAAATGTCATGCCCTCCACCTCTGGCTCCACCTAGTGGCAGTTCTTCTCCCTCCTTCCCCTAACCTCTTCTCACACAGGTGGAGGGCAGGTGCAGCTCATCTGCATCAGTGGATCATCTTCAGCTTCAGGGAGCGGTCTCTTCATTGTTCATTCATCACTTCACATATGAGACACGAGCAGACCATAAACTAGACTGAACAAAAACATAAACGCAACACTTTTGTTTTTGCTCCCATTCTTGACCTTTTATGTGGCCAGCCTAAGACACACCTGGTCAACAATCCTGCTGTCCAATCAGCATCTTGATACGCCACACCTGTGAGGTGGATGGATTATCTCGGCTCACTGACAGATTTAGACAAATCTGTGAACAACACCTGAGAGAAACAGGTCTTTTGTGTACATGGAAACGGTCTCAGATCATTGAGTTCAGCTCATGAAAAATGGGAGCAAGAACAAAAGCGTTGCGTCTATATGTTTGTTCAGTGTGCCTCCAGTTAGTGAGCCCCGGCCCAGTCTGTAAGTCTGATCTCCAGTTCTGCGCCGTGATCCCATTCCTTCCTGTGCCCTAGTTCTGACCCTCTCTGCTGCCTTCAGACCACACCAGCTACAACCCATCTGAGTCCGTCTACCGATCATCTTGTCTGGATTATCCACACTCACATCCTGCTGTGGGAACGCCAGCCTGGACCGGCTTCTCCCTGGACACACCACGCTGCCACGCCACCGATCCCTGGAGTCCTCCCCTGATCCCCCCGTCTGTCAGGAAGCTCTAATCTTAGTCTTTACGCCTGTTTAGGAGTTGGAAACTGATTTGCAGTTTTGTGTCGCATAGTCGCTAAATAGTTCTGTTCATTGTCTTCCTGACAGTTTGTCTGCCAGCCCACTAGAGGGCACTGGTTGTTCTGTAGCTAATGATTCCTACTTCCTGTGAAACATTTATTGCAAATAAATCCTCTTTTGATTGCTCACTTTTGTCCGCCGAGTCTTTGTCCATGTTGGAGTCTCTGGATCTGATCTGTGACATGAAACCGCTCCACACGGAACCATAAGTAGTAACACTAAGTAACGGTAACATCTCAGAAACGATCAGGACTCAACGTGCAGGAGACGAGGGAAGCCTTGTACCCTTTGTTCCTTTGCTATGTGTTATAGAAACTCAGCCACTAGGAATTGCAATAAGGCTCATAATAATATCTGAACACTGCTCACAGGCCGACAGCAGCACCTCCACCTCAGCTGCTGTACCTGTTCAGAGGCCACTACTGGAGTTTAACACTTACCCTTTACTGTACCCAGCTGCTGTTCAAGAGATTAAAAAGGACATACAAGATTACCGTCTTACACACATGATGGGTGTCTAACACCACATCAGAATAAAAAATCAGGATGAAAACGGCTTCATATTTAGTCCAATACGGGAAAATGATTCATTCACCCCAGGAAGGTCTGATGGGGGGATTAAAACATGGGCAGAAGGGTAGAAATGTCTAGACTGGTGTTTCATTTTCCTTTCTTTAATTTACTGCAGGAGCTGCTTAGTACTGGGATGAAGTTATTTTACTCTTAAATGTGGCGAGAAACCATCGTCCTTTGTTATTGTTCTGCACAGAAACACTCTTTTTTGGCCCATTGTTACTGTCAGAGTCTATGAATGAAGTTTAAGGAGCAGGTTTGAAGAATTGAGAATTGTGGGAAACTGAGCCCAACGACACCGACGGCACCAGACTGTGATCATTGAGCACACTGAGCTAACGGGCTCTGCATTACAGCAGCCAGATCTGGAACCAAAGTAGGTCAACGGGGTCCAAACACAGAATCACAGGTCTTTCTAAAAGTCCAAGCTGTTGTTACTCTTTCTGTTTTACACACGGGCCAGCTGACAGTCTGGGCTGGGCCGGCACTGGGCTGGGCCGGCACCAGATAACCTGAGATGCCCGGATCACTCCTCTCCCCTTTCTCTTCCTCTCCTCTGATCTCCTGACATCCCTCTTCTCTGCCACCAGTAGCCTGGTTCTGACGCGCCGCCCCATCGGGACCACAGACCCGTTTGCCCCCCCTACTGGTGGGCCTGGCCACACACATAGCATCAAGCTGCTTTAGCTTACAGGTGTGCTTTTATCATGTTTTGTAGCAACAACTTGATGTGATGACACACAGTTAAATATCCATGGACCTGAAAGAAGCTGATGAATGTCATTGGATCAGTGCTGTTCATCGCCTGAACAGAAGAACATCTGACACTGCCACCACTTCAAGACACCGCCAAAGTTACTTTAAACTGCTAATCATCCTTTTCAGTAATCACCTCCAAAATAGTAGGTTCCTCCAGTCTGGATCTGGATGGGGATAGCTGTCCTCACTGTGGACGCCTCGTCTCCATCCACCGTCAGCATAGCGTAGTTTTCCAGGGCGTTGAGGTGGATGCTGTGCCACTGGCCGTCATTCAGACCTGAGCCTGGAAGGCAAAGCACACTTCAGTCAGTGAAATCTGAACAGGACAAAACCGGCAACAACAATAAAAACATCAAGATGCAACAAAAAACCACAAACAGTAAATAAAGCTCCTTTAATAAAATAATCAAATATAATAACAGTTATCAGAGCTCACCTGAGGAGATGTCAATACGTGCGTTCTTCTTCTGCGTCACATTCATGTAGACGGTGACCTTGCCCTCCATCAGCCCCACCTCCACCCAGCCATCGGCCAGGGCCGTGAACATCAGCAGGCCGTGGGGGTTCCACGTCCTGAACGACAAACTGACGGACAGAGTGTCACTGTCGCTCTGTCCCAGCAACCGCAGGAACGACGTGGAGTTGAAGAAGACGGGGAAGGAGTTGGACTCAGCACAGGAGAATGTCAGGTTACGCTACAGCGGAAGAAAGACAAAGATATGTATTAAAACAGAAACTAAAGCAGTCGATTCCTTTATGATCTACAGGTGATGAATTTCATTCTTGGGAAATTATTAGTGACTTCAAATCCACATCAGAAACGTCAGGCATCCTGGCTCCGCCAATCCCGTCGGTCCACCGGCTCCAGCTTCTCCAAGGATAGCCAACATTTAACCACCTTCATCCTGCTCAGCTCTACAAGTCCTCGCACCAAACCTCCCCTCATCATGTCTCCTCCAGGAGTCGACCAGTCTCACTTTGTTTAAAACTGTTTTCTCTCGTTTCCTTAATCTAGGATGGCAGGTTTAGCAAATGTGTTTTTATTTATTTATGTTCCTTCCAGGGTTTGGCTAATGTTGGGGGTTCTAGATAGCGTGTGTGGTTGGCTTTAGTAGCCGTGCTTCTATTGTTCTTTTCTTTTGTTTGTAAATTCAAATCACGCTGGCAGTGTTGGATGCCATAACTCCCATGGCCCCAGCCTACATCCAGTTCACTTACAGCCATCACCAATGAGCCTAAATCAAACGGGGACTTAACGCCATCGCTGGATTCCCAAACATAAGTGGAGCCACAGACTGCACCCACATCACATTCAAAGACCATCACTAAACAAATTTCCATCCATCCATCATCTCTACACCTTAATCCTCACCATAGACTGTATAAAAGATGGACGTAGCAACCGGCCCTGAAAAATGAAGCCAACCCGGAAGTGTCAAAAACCTGCAATATCACTACGTCCGCTAGCTGCTGGCTCCACAAAGCCCTGGCTCCCATAGACTGGAACTGGAAAAGAAATGATCACAGATCACCAAATACTGCATTCCTATAGCTCAGGATTTTTTTCTTATTAGTTTTCATACTCATAGTCAAATCCAGAGATCAGGTGGCCAATCTGAAAATAAATCAATACTGAATTTTTCAAAAATCGTCCACATTTTGCGGGGCAAGGGGCGTGGCTGGCTTGATTGACAGTCGGCAGCGAGGATGCAGACGAAGCGAGCAGAAGGCGGTGAATGTGGGCGGGCAGAGAGGGCCTGCCTCTCAATCCGTCTGACCAATCACTGCTCCTATGGCTCCGCCCCCCCCCTCCCACGATTGTTGCACCACTGGCTCCAAAAATCCAAGATGTCAACCAGGAAGTAGCAAAACCCTGGCTTCATTTTCTCAGTGCAGAAACCAACAGGTGACGTCACGGTAGCTACGTCCATCTTTTATACAGTCTATGATCCTCACTAGGGTCACGGGGGGGGCGGAGCCTATCCCAGCTGACTCAGGGTGAAGGCAGGTTCACCTGGACAGGTAGCCAGCCTATCACAGGGCTACACTTAGATAGATAGAGAGAGAGAGAGGGCACATGTGGAGAGCAGAGCAGGTCTGATGAACTCGTCTGTGGCAAATACTATCTGCAGCAACACAACACCGTTAATCAGGTTTGATTAACTCTAACTGTGAGACATGTCTGTGTCGCAGAGAAACAACCTGCAAAAAGTGAACAAGAAGCACAGTCCTCAGCACAAAACACACCATGAGCTGCTTTCAGAGTGGCTAAGGCTATGCTAATGGCTAGCAGCGGAACCAGGAGGAGCTATTACCCTCAAACATCGTCAGAAAATACAATAATTCATAATGATGCTTTAAGATCTGGTCCTGAGTGAGCAATAAAAGTGAACAAAACAATGCATTAATAATAACTTAATAATAATGAAACTATTAGGAAAACAGTATATGGACCTGCAGGGGACAAACTGTGACTGAGCTCAGTCAGGTGACCTCGTCGTAAACAGGAGAGCGTCATGTGACTTTCATCTTCCTATTTCTGTTGTACATATTTGGTTATAAATAAATAAGTATGAATTAATTATTAATGACGTAGTCAAGTGATGAATACCAGGTTCTCTGCTATCACATCCTGTTCATATATACTATTTAATGTATAGATTCAGTAACAGCAGGGAACACGTCAGTCACAGCTGGACGACGTCATTATGAAGGCTTACTACCATATGGTGTTGTGACAAATGACAGGTTCCCTACTATTACATGCTCTTACTATTTCACATTTAATGTATATATGTATAAGTTAGTCATAGTAATCTTTATTAATGAACAAACTCAGCTATGAATGACAGGTTCCTGCTGTCACGTGTTGTTATTTAATAACTTTTGATGTCTATCGGGTCCATGTATTGGTTATCGGCCTTTCTTGAGCACTAACAATTGATACTGACATCGACCCGCAAAAAGAAAACCTGTGTAGTGACCGAAAGCAGTAGGATGTGGATACAAGCAGCCAAAAGGAGTGTCCTCTGTAGTGTGTCAGGGCCTAACCTCACAGACAGAGGGAGGCACTTGGACATCTGGATACTGCTTGGAATTAATGTCAGTGTACATGACTCCACAGTATGGAAGACACTGGGCCAAAATGGCACCAGTGGGAGAGCTCCTGGCTAAAAAGAACATGAAGGCTCAGCTCGCATTTGCAAAGAAACATCTGGATGAGCCTACATAAACATCCTGTGGACTGATTAGTCAAAGGTGGAACTTGCTGGAAGACATGGGTCCATCACATCTTGTGTAGAGTATATAGTGCATTCCACAAGACAACCACCATAGCAGCAGTGAAACATGGTGATGGGAGTGTGATTGTCTGATGCTGCTTTGCTTCCACAGGACCTGGACGACTTGTCATAATTAATGGAGTCATGAATTCTGCTCTCTGTCAGAATATCCTCCTGGAGAACATCCGCCCATCAGATCATGAGCCAGAGCTCAAACACAGATGGGTTCTGCAGCATGACACTGACTCAGCGCACATAAAGGCAAGTCCACCTCTGAATGGCTCAAAAGGAGCAAAGTTTAGGTTCTGGAATGGCTGAGTCAAGGTCAGGACTTGAATCTAACTGAGACGCCGATAAACTGGGGTTATTTCAGGGCGCTGTGGGTGACTGTAGGAGACGGCTGCTTCTCTGGTGGGCTCTGCACTACCGAGCCTTTTTTCCTTGTTTTTTATATCTTTTCCACTTTTTTTGTCTCTCCTACACAGAAACCGGGTTTATTCTTCAGATGCTGGAAGTCTATAAAGAAGCTTGTGTTCTCTATTGCAGCCAACAGATTCAGACTCCTGGTGGTTCAGTCTCGAAGCGGGCGAAGAAGAGGTTGAGTTCTTCTGCCAGCTCAGCATCGCCCTCAGCAGCTCTGATGCCGGGTTTGTAGTTGGTGAGGTGCTGGACCGCCATCCATGCCTGCCTGGTGTTGTTGCTGTCCAGGTGGTCGTCGATCTTTCTCCTGAAGTCCTCCTTGGCCTTCCTGATGATTCTCTTCAAGTTAGTGCGGGCTGTGCTGTAGAGAGCCCTGTCTCCAGTTCTGAAGGCTGAGTTTCTCTCCTTTAGCAGCTGCTTCACCTCTCTGGTCATCCAGGGTTTCTGGTTGGGGTAGACCCGGATGCGTTTCTCCATGGTCACCGTGTCCGCACAGTTCTTAATGTAGCACAGAACAGTGTCTGTGAACACATCCAGGTCCTCGTCCTCAAAGATGTCCCAGTCAGTGCTGTTGAAACAGTCCTGCAGCTGTAGAGAAGCACCATCTGGCCACGTCCTGATGGTCTTAATGGTGGTGGGGGTGGATTTACAAAGGGGGGTGTATGCAGGGATGAGTTGTAGGAAGATGTGGTCAGACTTGCCTAAGTGTGGTGCAGGTCTGGCCCTGTAGCCCAGCTTGATGTTTGTATAAATCTTGTCCAGTGTATTGGCTCCTCTTGTCGCACACTTGACATGCTGGTGGAGTTTAGGGAGCACTGATTTTAAGTCCACATGATTAAAATCCCCAGCGATGATGTGCACCGCATCTGGATGTTGGTTTTGCTGCAGGCTGATGTTGCAATGTAGCAGTCCGAGGGCCGAGCTAGCATTAGCATCCGGTGGTATGTAGACAACAGTTAGCATGACCCCAGTAAACTCCCGTGGAAGGTAGAACGGTCGGCATTTCACAGTCAAATATTCCAAATCAGGGGAACAATAGCTGGCTGCCGTCTCTGTGTTGTTACACCAGTTGTTGTTGATGTAAATACACAACCCTCCTCCTTTGTTCTTATCGGAGTCACTGGTCCTGTCAAAGCGCAGTGTTGTGAAGCATGCTAGCTCGATAGCTGAGTCCGGGATGGATGAATGTAGCCATGTTTCGGTGATGAGTAGGACACAACAGTCTCTGGTGAAGCTATCCGAAGCTGCCTGGAGCCTCAGCTCGTCCATTTTGTTGGTGAGGGATGTTACATTAGCGAGGGAGAGGCTGGGAAGTGGTGGTTTGTGTGGCCACTTCCGTAGTCTGGCTAGCCCGCCGGCCCTGCATCCCCTCTTTTGCCTCCCTGCGCCGCCTCCGCTTCCTCCTCGTTGGGAACGTGATCCACAAAGAGCCGGCGTCCCTTGTTATGAACCCCGGGATGTTGTATGAACGAGAGGACTCCGCTGTAATACTCATCTCGCACGAAACTCCGATTTTTAACAGATCCTGTCGGCTGTAGGTGACGTTAGCTCGACAGAAGGCAGTTGAAACAAGCAAGACATACATAACAAATACAAAAACAAAGCACTGAAAGTGAGAGCACAGAGTCTACGCGCGCTGCCATCTTGCTCTCTTGATTTCAGAATATTTGACCATATTTATGACTGAGCCTTGCTAGTTGGAGCAGCCCTTCTGGCAACTGGTGTTTCCCAGGAGTGACACACGTCAGGGTTTTTCAAAATCTGCTCTCAACTGACCCACTATGAGCACAAACCTGCAAAAATATGTTAATGAACTGCCCAAATCCAAGCTCCTGTTGCTTCAATCATGACATTTCTAATTCTTCATTACATTTAATTAAGTTTTCTTACCGCCCTTCCCACTACAATCGTCGTTTTAAAACTGTTGTAAAGTTGGAGTAACTACAGGTTGAGTGTCTATACAGCAGACGTAGTTCATCCAGGCAGGGTTCCACATTTCCTACACCACACTCCAAGCAGGACCATTTAAGTGACCTTGAATTAGGTATTACTGGAACTACTATAAGTTGAGCTTGTTGCTGTCATTGAAGGTTAACTTGCTCATTTACTTTACCTGTTCTACTCACAGGATATACCAAACATCGATATAACTATTATATTCATGGCTGCCTTAAAATATACGGTTGTGGCTGTGGCTCACCCAAAGATGCCCAAGATCTCCACTTAACAAAGACAACCCTCAAGAGAGAACAAACTTGTCTTACAAAGCTGCTGGTGTCCACCTTCTTTCTTCTGACCAGGTTGGTGATGTTGTCTCCATTGTATGTGATTCCCTCCATGCAGCCCACAAAGTTGTCTTTGCCTCCTGAGCTGGGTTTTGCAGATACAGGCAGTCCTCCGAAGCTGATCTGAGGACACACAGCACAGTGGACATGGAATGACACCGATCTCTCTCTCACTCCTGTCATGCTGCTGTGGCCGACACTCACTTGTTCAGTCATTCATTGATGCCCATATGACAGGCACTAACAAGTTTGAAGTGAGCAGCAAATTGGGATTTGAACACTTTTATAGACACACAGCATTTTAGTCAACATGGAGCAGTGCACTGTAGGACTGTTAGCAGATAGTAGTGCACTAGGCAATGCACTCAGCTTTCCCTGTTCACATTCAGAACACACATTTATTATCTCATACACGGCTTTACCCCGTCGGCTGGTTGGCTAGCGGGTCTCCTAACAGAAAGCAGACAGGTACTTGGGGGCAGCTGCGAACCTTTTGGTTGTGAAAGCAAAAACGGTGTGGGCGGAGTTTGGAGAGGCTATGGACAAGGACTTGAGGTTGGCCTTGAGAAAGTTCTGACAAACCCTTCAGCGTCTCTATGAAAGGAAGGCAGGTCTTGGCCCTGGCTGTGTACAGGTCGGGAGAACCGCGGACCTGGACTGAGGATATTGTTGGAAGGTGGAAAGAGCCCTTCGAGGAGCTCCTACATTCAGCTAGCCCATCATCTGTTAAGAAGACTGAATCTGAAGACTTGGGGGAATTCTAGCCCACATCTGTGGCAGAGTCACCAAAGCAGTCAAGAAACCTCAGCAATAAGGGGCCAGGTGTGGATAATATTCACCATGAGAAGCTTGGCTGACTCTTCAGTGTCTTGTGGACATCGGTACCGTTGGAGAGGCATACCAAGGTGATGGTTCTCAGCTTCAAAAAGAGGGACCTAAGAGTGTGCTCGAACTCCTGAGATGTTCCGCTGTTCAGCCTCCCTAGCAAAGTGTATTCCAGGATACTGGAAAGGAAGGTCTTCTGAGCCCGTCCAGCTGGAAGGAGACCCCGGGGTAGAACCAGAGGGACTTTATACCTAAACTGGCCTGGAAATGCTTTGTGACCTGACCCCAGGTAAGTGGAGGACAATAAATCGATTGGTGAGATGTTGCATGTTCTTCACCACATCATCGTTCTGGCTTGTTTGACTTTCTTTGAAGCAATCATGAGTGGGGCTGAGTGAAGGATGTGGTTTATAGCGGTGGGTGGAATTCTTGTGGTGGAACATTTGCACACGGGGAGATAAAACTGGATAATCCAGTGAAAACAACGAGCTGGGCTGCCTTACTAACTGCAAGTGAGAGGAAGGGGAGAGAATGCTGACTAAAATGATGTGCCAACAACAGGCTTATGCACCATGTCTCGTTAATCACAACACTGACTTGTGTTAACAGAGCTTTATTAAACATCAGCCAACAACTCGTAGCAACATCAACAGCTACCGCCTTGCAGGAGCGCCCCCCATCCAGCCCCATCCAGCCCCATCTAGCCCCATCTAACCCCATCTTTCCCCATCTAGGCCCATCTCGCCCCATCTAGGCTCATCTAGCCCCATCTAAACCCATATAGCCCCATCTAACCCCATCTAGCCCCATCTAGGCCCATCTAGGCCCATCTAGCCCCATTTTGCCACATCTAGCCCCATCTAGGCCCATCTAGGCCCATCTAGCCCCATTTAGCCCCATCTAGCCCATCTAGGTCCATTTAGCCCCATTTAGCCCCATCTAGCCCCATCTAGGCCCATCTAGCCCCATCTAGCCCCATCTTGCCACATCTAGCCCCATCTTGCCCCATCTAACCCCAACTAGCCCCATTTAGCCCCATCTAACCCCATCTAGCCCCATCTAGGCTCATCTAGCCCCATTTTGCCACATCTAGCCCCATCTAACCCCATCTAGCCCCATTTAGCCCCATCTAGCCCATCTAGGCCCATTTAGCCCCATCTAGCCCCATCTAGGCCCATCTAACCCCATCTAGCCCCATCTAGCCCCATCTTGCCACATCTTGCCACATCTAGCCCCATCTTGCCACATCTAACCGCAACTAGCCCCATTTAGCCCCATCTAACCCCATCTAGGCCCATCTAGCCCCATCTAGGCTCATCTAGCCACATCTAGGCCCATCTAGCCCCATTTAGCCCCATCTAGGCCCATTTAGCCCCATCTAGACCCATTTAGCCCCTTCTAACCTCATCTAGCCCCATCTAGCCCATTCTAGGCCCATCTAGCCCCATCCTGTCCCATCTAGGCCCATTTATCCCCATCTTGCCCCATCTAGCCCCATCTAACCCCATCTAGGACCATCTAGCCCCATTTAGCCCCATTTAGGCCCATCTAGCCCCATTTAGCCCCATCTAGCCCCATCTAGCCCTATGGCGTCATCCGTTAGCGACACTGTGGTCTTTATCGTGCACATTCAACAGTTCACATAACACCCTGAACCTACACCCAGTAAGTGAGATTATTTTGGACCCACACCTGCAATAAGGAAATGTTTTTCAAATGAAAATGTTGGCAGTATGTTTAGTGTGTACAGGAAATACAGGGTGTACAGACAGCAATGACACACAGACCTGTGTTTACCTACTTACCCTGTGTTCAGGTGTTTCAGTGTGGAGGTAGATGAAGAGGATCTAGTAACACTAGAGTGGGCCTATTTAGGTCTCCAATGTAAACAGCATTCTGAAAGTCAGCCAGCTTTGTCAGAGTTGATGACCCTGCTTAGCCATACCACACGAGGAACTCCAGAACACCAGCAGTGAAGAAGATCTGTGTTTTCAGGGGTTTTTCAGCATTTTATGCCTTTATTACATAGCGGACAGAAAATGAGGGAGAAACAGATGGTGGGAACAATGACAGACAGAACCCTATCCAGAAAAGGACCAGGGCCATGGTGGGCACCTCAAGCACTAAGTCACCAGGCCATATTTTTGATGCATATGCAATGGCTGACACATCGCCAGTGACAGCGTATGACATGGTGGCCAGTGGTTTTATTAGTAGGTTTCCACCATCAGCACAGTTGATGGGAGTAATGTATGGAAACAAGTAGTGGAAACAAAGTGCTGTGACTGAGGCATGGGGCTAGGATGATGAAACTCCCCGACACCCACGCGTTCCTTACCTCATAGTCCAGGTCAAGGTTGTCAAACTCTCCATTAGTCCTGAACTGCTGAGTGTGGTGGTCCAGAGTGAAATTGACATTCCTTCGGTAACGTTCTATGACGACTGAGTGCCAGTGGTCGTCATCCAGCAAGCTGCCGCTGGTCACCGAGGTGTGGCCCTGAATGGACCCGTACTGGTTACTGCCTGCAGAGAAGCACACAAATGACACAGACATGGCCGGCTGTCGCGTAACTTCCCATTGCAGTCATCATCAGAGCATTTTTCATTTCAATGAAGTACAACTGTTTTTCTTGAGGACACCAAATAGTATGAAAGCTACCTAAGTTGATGCTGAGCTGCAGTCGCGCCCTGCGGAGCTCCAGGGAAATGTAGTCTCCCTGCTGCCCCTCTCCGTGGAGCAGCACCCCTTCTCCAGCTGTGGTTCTAAACTTCAGAGAGATGACGTCCTTCATAATCTTCATCTTTTTACTTCTGAAGCGATAAGAGATGACGCCATAGCCGTCAAAACTGATCACATCCGCCCCTAAAAGAAGGAGAAAAAAGAAGAAGAAGAAAAGAGAAATTCTATCGTCTGTCAGTAAAACAGGTCTGGGCTCAAGAACACTCACGTTGTGTCTGAAATCCTTCACACCAGTCTGAGGAAGTCTCCTGGATTTATCTTCATTAAACTAAGAAAGAAGGTATTTCATACACTGCTAGCAGCTGGAAACTGAACCAGGCAGATACTGTAAGCTACCCAACACGCAACACTTGCCCAAAATAATCCATTATGGTAGGAACAAAACAAACCACAGAAGGCTGTGGTCATAAGAGATACGAGCACGGTGATCAAAAAGGATAATCCCCTAATCAGAACTAGCAGGGTTGCCTTACTGCATGATCCAAATCCTCAAAACCTCAAGATTCAGTTTCATTTTCAGTGTGGGAACCTGCTAGAACCTGCCCAGAACCTGCAGAGAGTGGAGGGAGGGAGGAGGGTTCCTGGTACTCACAGTACGAGCAGCCATAGAACTCCAGACGGACTCCGATGCGTCCCTCCCTGCTCCAGTCCAGGGGGATGAAGCGGATGTAGCGGGCGAGGATGGCGTGCTGCAGCTCATGGCGAACCACACCCTCACTGTTGGTGTTACCCTCAAATGTCTGAAGCACAAGAACACAAATGCTGTATCTGTATATTGTTCCACAGCAAACCGTCACCCTGTTTCTCTTTGTTTTTATTTAATTCCAAACATTTGTTGGCAGGCTGCTGGTGCTCCATGCCTGACCCAGGAGCATCACAAGCTGGTCTTTGGTTAACCTGTTGTGTTCTCTGTTCGTGGTCATCATGTGCCCTCTAAAGCCGCATCTATTTTGTGTTAATTAACGAACAAGTACTGTGGATTATGGGGTCTTTGTGTGACCTCTGTTCGTATGTCAATTTAACTGCAAGAAAGCCTCTGAACTGAAACATAATGAAGCACGAGGAACGACGATAAACATCACGGCAGCTGTGGCTCATGTGGTGAAGCAGCTTGTCGACAAACTGCCAGGTCGTAGGTTTGACATCAGCCTCACTCCGTTCATGTGCCCATGTCCTCCAGATATTCACTCTGTATGTGCTACAAGTGGCAGGTTCGCTGCTGGCCTCAGAACAAACAGAAAACAGCCTCGAGTTTAGACTTCAGCTAAGTGATCTCTGTCTAAGTGATGCACAGATGAACTGTCCACCTTGACGCCGCAGCAGCCGTGAGTTCAGCTCCTGCTCACGACAGTTTGCTGCAGGTCTCTCTCTGTTCTTCTCCCTCCTTTCCTGTCTCACTCTCTCACTGTCCTGACTAATAAAGGCAAAAACGGCAGAAAAAATCATCTTAAAAAAAAAAAACAAAGCTTGCTAGCTATGAACTGACTGGACAGAAGATTTTATCGTGGCAGACTTTCCAGTTCTAACACCAAACCCTTCGCTGGCAGCATGTCAGTCAAAGCTTTGTGTGACTTTTGATGAAGATTGTAGAAACTGGTTTCTTACCCAGATGTTTCCGTCCTGTAGATAAGGCCTCCAGTTCTTCTGTGTGTCACTGTAAAGGAGTCGATACTTGCTGGTCCAATCAAAACTGCTGTAGCGACCCTGTGTCACTATGGCAACCACCTGCTTCCTAGAACCCAGGTCTACCTGTAACCACTGGTAGCGGTCTGTATCCAGGGGTGACCAGCCTCCAGCACCTGGATTGGCAGGTGTTGTCGGGTTGGGCAGGATAGAGAATGGGAGGCAGAGAAAAGGAATAAGAGCAGAAAAATGCTTCTGGACACAAACAAAATCCCATCATAAAGTGTCTTTACAGTTTAGAGCAAAGTTGTGCAGATGCTATGATCACAGTGAGTGTGGTCAGGATGGTCAGTCCAGGCACGGAGACGTGACAGACAAAGGACAAACCAACAGCGTCTCTTCATGAGCTCTTTGGATATCACGTGTTTCCAGAACAGCTGTAAAGCCTCTTGGCCTTAAACCTCCAGGTCTTTAACTTTACTGGAGGGAGAGAGCAACGTTCTTCTAAAAGATGTTTCTCTGATTGTTGTTTTAAAAATGGCATTACAGAGAACTGTCTGACATGTCAGTCCAAAAGCCCAACTGGGATCTACTGACAGCGAAGGACTGAGCATTTAACTCACACCACTGAGAGAGAAAAAAATCACCCCTTTAGAGTAGAAACTCATCCGTCAGTGTACAGGATCCATCCATCATCTCTACACCTTCATCCTCACTAGGGGGGCGGAGCCTATCCCAGCTGACTCAGGGTGAAGGCAGGTTCACCTGGACAGGTA